TCTCAAACTCCTGCTTCACAGAGTTGGCTTTTACCTGAGAAAGAATAGAATTAGAAATCAAACGAGAAAAATGGGGAACAGGATTGGTAAAACACGGCAGACTGAATTCAAACTTTTGCCCCTATGGAAACCACAGATGTTTGAGCTTATGTGCTAACTGCTAGATGCAGCTCAATTTAGATTTCCACCACTGTCAATATACAAAGGTGTTTGCTGAACATTTTGCTTACCTTTGTGGTGCATGTTGCCCTAAGCGGCTCTACAAGTCTGTCCAACCTCTGTAACACTGCACTGGGACACAGACTAGATAATCTGGCCAGCATGAGGAAAGTCAGCATCTGTAAACACATTAACAGAGCAAAAAGAACCATAAACCTTTGTGATTCATGAGTCTATGCACATACTTTTGGTCCCACTGAAGTTCCTTGTAACTATAAAATGCCCATGGCGTGCGAGAAAAATACTATATATCATAATTCCTGTTAAAAGTGTTTAGGTAAACAACTGAAACATTTATAAATTTACATATTTTCTAGTACAAAGCACTCAATTATATTAAAACAATAGTTAATGTTCCCGCTTCATTATGATGCAAGTACACCTGGTAATAAGTACATTTAAAATAAAGTTGGACCACGTCTGTTGTGAATGCATTATGCATTTATGCCTTTGATGACCGCACACTGAATCTTTGTTAATCAATTCACTCTTTCATCTTCTGTGGTCGCTAAATGATCTGCATGGCAAAAAGCCTGTGTCTCATGAAAGATTCATGAGTCGAGTCTGATGGCTTACCTTGATATCGTAATGGTCCTTAAGTCCGTCTTCAACATGGTTTAAGAATTCAAAGATGTCAAGTCTATCAAGGCAACTGTCTAATAGAGTGTACATGCATTCAAATGCAGCCTTCCGGATGTCCAGACCATCGTCCACTGTGTGTTTGAACGGACCCATCTCAACCTAAAAAGAGGCAGGTGTCATTGAGCTTTGAGGTTTTAAAAGACAGTAAAGCAAAAGTCTGTGGACAAAGGGGAGATTACCTCTCTGATTAAATCCTTGCGCACTTTAGTCTCATTGTACAAATGAGGGAGAACTGTATCCAAAAGGTCTCGAATAAGAGAAGGTTTGTTATGAGCTGCAGAGTTGAAGGTAACTAGAGCCACTCTTCGTACATTGAGGTCTGGATCTTCCAATGTTTTCAAGAAATCACCTAGAAGTATTTAAAAAAAATAATAATTACAATTAAAACCAGTTCTAAAATGTGTTCTGGACAAAATTCAAAATGGTGCAAGTTTGTACTTAAAGAGTAAAAGTAAAAAAAAAAAAGTATTTGCCAAGGAGAAAACCAACTAATAATAGCACTTGCCTATGCAGTTTTTAAGAAGGGGGTCAATTGTCTGTGGGTGATCAGAAATCGTGAATTTAACAGCTGTAACTACAGAGCTCCTGGCATAAGATGATCCTGCGGAGAAAGAGAACACTTCCATCAAAACTCTTAAATTTATCAGAAACAATTTATGACATAACTTTGACAAAGTATAAAACTTAATTTAAATTGAATTTAAAGTATTTTGATACAGATTTAACAGGCAGAGTTAAGAGACAATTACCTGATAAGAGATAGCCTTTTAGCCTGGGCAGAAGAGTCTCTGGGTCGATGAGTGTTAACTTTCCCAGACATTCAGCTACCACGTTCCTTGTGCCCTCTTCTGTACACTCGCAGTGTTTGAGCAACAGCGCCCACACATTTTCAACATACGGTTTAAGCCCTGCCACCGAAGCAGAGCTGATGATTTCCTTGAGAGAGTGCAACAGCAGGTACTGTCGCTTGGGTTGGCCAGAGATCTCTTGCAGGACAAAGGGCAGGTACTCCGGGAGATTCCCCACGCTGATGCTGCCTAACGCGTATGAAGCTGCTGATTTAACCTCTTCGCTGGCTGAGGAGAAGGCATCCAGAATGACCGTTTTCAGCTCAGGCTGGCCGCTCAGATCAACGTGATGGCCGACCTCTCCCAGGGACAGCAGAGCCAGCAATCGGATGGAGTCAGTGGAGCGCGAGTTCTTCACATCTTGAATGAACTGTCCCACCACAGCAGGGCCCTCTTTAGGACAAGCTCGTGTAAGAGCAGCCACACACTTCGCAATGGAGTAGTAGGATTGCTTATGGGTGAGCGCTGCACTCTGGGCATACACCGGACCTGTTAGCATACGTAGCAGATCCATGTAGCCCAAGCTGGCAGTTCCCGTAGCTACAAGAGCCTGGAAGAATTCCAGCATGGCGCTAAGAGCGCCACCTTGCAGCAACGGCGAACGAACCAAAGCTATGAGTTCAGCCAAAATAGAGCCACTTATCTTAGACAGCGAGTCAGGGTGGACTCGTGCAAGCGTGGTGAGGAAGCTGATAGCCATCTGCGAGACATGCATATCGCTTTCATTGATAAGAGGTGGCAGCTCAGCCAGTACAGCGTCAATCATGGCCGGTGTTACACTATCACTGTAGTTCTTGACCAGAATGTCCAGTGCAGCCAGTGTGCTTAGTTTCAATGCTCGCTGGTTCTTACGTAGGAAGGAGGCAAGAATGGGAACAGCCTCACCCAAAATGGGCCTCAGGTTGATCTTTAGCGGTGACCCTGCAATGAGTGTGAGAGCTTTGACAGTGGTCAGCCTTGTTATCTCGTTCTTCAGTCGCTCTAGAAAGATGAGGAGAGTGCCTGGTAGGTCCGCACCAAGGCTATCACCAAGGTTGCAGATAATTTGCCCCGTACAAGAGATAGCTCGCTCTTTGACTTCCTGGTCGATATCTGCTGCCTTCAGCCTTTTAATGGTGCAAGCAAAAAGGTCAGCGATGTAGGGCGAAGCATCAAAAGCATCTGTTTGATCGAGGGGCCTAATGACTTTGACCAACTGCTGGGTGACCAGCAGTGCTTCAGAAGTGATCTTATAAAAGGGATCACCCACACAAGCAACTACAGGAGGCACTATCGCCTGAACATGGGGGTGGAAGACTTGAGGCTGATGGTTGCACAGGATCACATACAAGCAAGACAGGGCATCTATCTTCAGATTTGAAGAGCTTGACTTATCATTGAGAGAAAATATGATACCTAGATGGAGCAAAATTAACAAACGTCACTAAATACTAAAAAAAGGAATTGCTGAGAAACATTTCAAGGTTTACCCTATAGAGCTTTTATAAATGCTGATCAAACTTGTCAAGAATTAAGCAAATGATCATGGAAGGAATGACTCTACTCTCTTTAACGTGTAGTAGCTTGCCTGCGGCACATACCTGGGATGAGAACAGGAATATGCTGCGTCAGGGCCCCTGGCAGCACGTTTACTAGTTCTGTTAACATGTTGAAGCAGCACTGCCGGGTCTTAACACTTTTCTCCTTCATCTGTTTGTGTAGTGCTTTTACTATCATGGACACCTGCAAAGGCACACAATATATCACCCTTAGAAATAAACTTACATAATTAGAAAGCCCAAGAGTATGAAATAATGTTATACTCTTCACAGTATATTGTAATGTACTAGATAAAAAAAAAAAAAAACTTTCCCTACCTGAATTTGAAGCATTGTAAGAGGAGTTTCTCCCTGTTCCATGGCATCCGGGTCACAGAGCCAGCTCTGGGCAGGGCGTGTTTGCTTGAGTAAGGACAGGTAGGCATGGAACACATCTGCCTTGACGTTTTCTTCCCGCTCTTTAAAGCGGGCAATGAGCGCTGGAGAAACAGTGCGGTAGAACTCTGGTAACATTTCAAGTCGTGTGCTCACCACGGCATCCAAGCACTTTGCTGCCGCTCTCCTCACTTTCCAACTCATGTCGTCATCATCACTGTACTCATCATCACTTCCTGTTTGGATCACATGAATTAGATGATATAATCAGAGTCTCTTCTTGAAATAATCCCATGCTACAATCCATACTGTTCACAATAGGTTGCATATTATGTATGTAAATGTGTCTGGGTACTTTAGTTCCAAACTAGCAGCCCCAAAAATAATTTATTTAATACTCAGACACTATTAAACAGACAGAGAAACAAGTTTGTCCCCTGTACCCTCTGCTTCAGCAACACAAAGAGCGTGGACTTCTGAAGCGTGGGCTTCTGAGAGGAAAACAAACATACCCTCAAATCTGTTGCCAAAGTGTACGAGCCTCCTGAGGCTGCTTACAAGCTAGTGCGCAGTTAGCACAATCAATTATTGAAAAGAAAACAACAAATAGGTAGGAATATGATTTATGGATGAAAACAACACTCCAGTAGGGGCTGAGAATACAAATCCTTGACGCCAGAAAAGATCAAGTAGACCAAAGGCATTTATGAATGTCTAACTCAAGCTTTTGGACAGGGGCTTGTCATTACGGCCTGCTCCTGTCAAATTCTAAAGTGCAGCAACCCACATTTCCTCAACCGTACTTCCACATGAAACACTTCATTCCAACATGCAACGCTGAGCACATCCAAACTCAGTTGTGCTTCAGAGCACTAATGGTTAAAAAAGCATTTTCATTCCGAGAATGCACATCCTGTCAGAGAAATAGGCATGACATGCTCAGCACATGCATTTAGCAGAATAAAAAGGTGCCTGCTTGACAATTTTTAAGGTAACACGAGGAATGGTGGCAAAAGTTTAAGCCTGTCTGGAAATTACAGGACAATGAGCACCCCCAAACCAATCTCAGAGCCAATTTCATCGGCTGTAAATGCTTAAGTATTATTCAAATCTGCTAGACTGGACAAGTCACCATTGTCCATTCATTCCAATAACAAGCTGATTTCTGATGGTCTGGCAAACAGTCTCTCCAGATGGCCAACTTTTCAGTCCCATACATGGACAGAGTGCCTCTCCGACTGCTGTATTATCAAGACACTGCTTTCAAAGACGCCTACAATGTGGAAAAATAATCCCTAGGGTTTTTATTATTGTTATGCGACCAGCAGAGGCTAACACACACCAAAACTAACAAACTGAGCTGGTAACTTACAGCTAAACAGACTTTTGGTTCAGGAGAGAGAATAAATCCTTCTTCCCTCAGACTGAGAGGAGAAATGAGCCCCGCCTCGTACCTTGATAATCTTCATCTACACCGTCGGCATCCATTGCATTCTCATCTTCATCCTCGTCGTCATAGTTGTAGTTGGGGTCATAAGTCAGATACTTAAGACAGATGCTAATGACTGTTGGGACATGTGGGTAGACTTCCTTCGGACACCTGGGAATCAAAGACATTAAGAGATTTAAATTCCACAAATAACCAGTTCACAATAATGCAGAAGTGAAATTTGTTTTACCATTAGCTATTTTTTTTGTTTGAAATCTTATAATCTATACGACTACTTCTCACAAAAAAAAAAAATTCTGTCAGTTGTTAGACTAACCTCCTTACGAAAGACTCAAAAGCTTGTATGCAATATTCCCTCAGTTCATCATCATCAACATTGCAGAACTTCACCACCAACGGGATGATCTTCTCTAAGTACTCACCTGCAAGATAAAACCAACATGTTGTAATTTACCATCATTACACACACATCAGTTAGATATGTTGGGTTACAAAACATAACATCAAACTGCAATAATTCATTGAGAAATATAAATGAGTTTGGAGAGCTGCAAGATAAAGGCCTCACTGTGTTCAGCACAATCAAAGAAACAATCTTAAGATGACAAAAAGACTTAATTAAAACAGTAGTGCAAGAGATAGCTACAAAACAACTGAGTGCATTCCACTGAAGTAATCTTGCGCATCTTAATCGCAGCTGTCTTTGTTTCATCAAACGTAGGCGGTAATTGGCTGATGGGGGAATGGCGCACCACAGCAGCAAACCTAAATGACTTTTCACTTCATTTAATTTGTGCCAAATGGCCTGCCTTAGCAGCACACCAATGGAACAATGTTGATGACAAGGTGACGGGTAATAACAACCGTACTGGAGATTGTTCCATCTCTTGTCACAAAATAACATTCTGGCAATTTGTTCGGTCAAATTCCAAGGAGAGTTGCCTTCAAGCTCATACCCTCTATATATAATTGTGCTTTGGGGGTGAATTGTACAAAACAGTCAAAGTTCTGAATAATTAAGGAGAACTTTAACGTGTTCTATTATTGTATCATTATTAAAAATTGTGGAAAAGAGAAATCAACAAATTATCTTTGAATGACGTCAAAATCCTTCTCGTCAATGCAAAACTGATAGAGGGGAAAGATGGCGTACATCGGCCTGAATAACTTCTACTGCTCATCAACCTGAGCAATCATAAAGTGAAATGTAATCAGGATTCAGTGTCAATGCTGGTGACCTCAATCTTGAGTGAAACATTTTCTATCATAAGAAAGGACTCTGGACTTCAAGATCAAGCCATGGAGAACTGTGGTAAAAAAGCAATACCTAGGAGGGGAGGATATCATTAAAAGTATTTACACCATGCTTTCAGCAACAACAAAAAATAAAAAATAAAAAACCCTATTGTAATAATTAGACCATTTAAAGATCTTTGAGGACAGCTTTGGTTTGCTTTAGCTCATTCCAGCGAAGACTAAATTACAGCATCAGTGGTGCAACTAATTGCTGTATGAGAAGATCACAGTTGATGGCTTCAATAAGTGCACACTAAAATTGCTTTCAGCACTTAAAGAGTAACTGAGATGAGGTCTTGAACCCTAAAGACATTAAGTTAACTGAGGTCTGTAACAACGGGGGAGCCTCACCGATTCTGTGGCCAGCTTGTCTGCTTATGGCAGCAATACACTGGATGTAAGTGCGCGTGGTTGACATGGACTCGTTGCGTGAGAGCTCGGATAATAAGTGCTCGATGAGGTCCACAAAGACCAGGTTTCCGCAGCTCATGACCAGATGTCCCAGGGCTATGATGGTCCTCTTTCTCACTGCCAGGCGAGGGCTTGTCAATTGAGGCAGCAGACAGCTCAGAATGGAAGGATGGAAATTCACTAAGAGGCCTCCTTGTCTGGATGAATGAACACAAACAATGTAAGACATTCAAAAGAAGAATTTGTTGCAAAGACCACATAATGACCACATAATTTTGCTACTTAATTAGATATGAAATACAGAATACTAACATAATACTTTTATTATTTCTAAAGTATATAGCATATATAGCCAGTTTCTTTTATTTACCAAAATGTGCATGATAAAAAAGGGCATATTGTATCCCACTATGCAGTTTACTCAACTTAAAGTTCAAGTTTTAAACATACCAGGATTAAAAATTCCAAATAATCTTTTTGTTCAAAATAACTGAACAGCACTTACTGAATTAAACCTGTAATTGATAGATGTTACAAAAATTTCCCGTTACATAATGTACGCTTTTTAAAAAAAATAGAGCACAGGACATATACTGTGCTGCATAGTGGTATTCCATGTTAGTACTCTATTCTAAAATAGTCAGATAATGGACAATAACAGGAAATTACTAGGAAATAAGGAGGATCAGAATATGTTGCAGACCGAATTCAAACCTGTGTCAGCCACATGAAAACCATGGCTTTTTGTGTCTCAAGTGTGTAGGCTAACTGCTGCTCCGTTCCTCTGAAAACAGCATGTTTTACTGTGGATTGAATCTAACGTTTAAGACCTATTCACATGAAAAATGATAACTGTAAAGTCAAACCAATGCTACTGTCCATTGATGTTGATACTAATACAGTTATTATAGCTTCCATTCTTAGTGTGAACAGGCCTTAAATCCTTAAGGGGTTAGTTCACCCAAAAATTAAATTTAGCCCACAAATTACTCACACTCAAGTCATCCTAGGTGTATGACTTTTCTTCTTTCAGACGAATCCAGTCGGGGTTATGTAAAAAAAACTGTCTTTGATCTTTCAAGCTGTTTAATGGCACTCAGCGGGTGTTGCACGCATTAGTCCAAAAGTAGTTAAATAAAAAGCACCCATCCATTAAAAAAAAAAAAGTGTCTCGCACGGCTCCAGGGGGTGAGCAAAGGCCTCAAATCAAATAACGTGATTATTAAGTTTTGAATCTGGATATTTTTCATACAAAAACGCATCGATTCGCTACAGAAGGCCATTGTTCACCCCCCGGAGCAGTGTCAGACACTTTTTTTTATGGATGGGTGCTTTTTATTTAACTATTTTTGGACTGATGCATGCAACACCCACTGAGTGCCATTAAACAGCTTGAAAGATCAAAGACAATTTTTAATATAACTCTGACTGGATTCGTCTGAAAGAAGAAAGTCATATAACACCTAGGATGACTTGAGGGTGAGTAATTTGTGGGCTAATTTTCATTTTTGGGTGAATTAACCCTTTAAATGTTTTGCGTATAAATATTTCCATGCACCTCAACTGGTTGTGCATGACCTTAGCAATGGCTTGTGGATCGAAATTCCCAAGGAACACACAAGCAGGATAAAAGCTTCTGCCTAATACATGAATGTAAATATAAATGCAAAATGCACTCACCCAAGACAAATTCAAAGTCTGCCATTAGCTACCACACAGAGCTGAGAATCAGCCTCTAAACTGAAATATCGAAGTATATTCAGCTCAATGAACTGAGGAAAAAGATAACTGAGAACTGCCACAGAGGGGAAATGCATGTGCACAAACACCTCCAGAAATTACCTGGCAGGAACCCATGTGCACTCAAAAGCACAATTGGTCTAAACAAAAGCAGCAGTCATCACATGGCTCATCTGACATACCTGCACAGCATGTCTGCCATGATGTCCAACGCTTCCAGCTGAACTGAGACGTCCTCCTGCTTGGCAATGGCACTTGTGAGGCGGCCTGTAATCTTTTTGCAAACACTAGCAGCAAGAGCAGAGCCTAAAGCAAAGAGAAATGGACTTAGCAGGCGAGACGGTGCAGGAAAACAACTAAATATAGCTGAATACATTCTCTGTCCTTTTAGCACATGAAAAAACTGTTTGTCGAATACTCTGGAAACAATTGTATTAATAACGTTACACAGGGAAATCATGTTGTTTTACCGCTGGATGCTGGCGGGAGCTCGCCAATCACCGTTTTGAGGCCGATGCTAGAAATATCTCGAAGCTGCTCCTTATCTGATAACATGTTTGTACACAATGTATCAACAATGGTTTCGACCTGGTACTCCTTCACTTTGCTGACAAGTGGGCCCAAACTGCAAGAAATAAGGACTTTTAGAGCAACCTCTGAAATGCTTCCTATTTGTCTATTGCTTGCAAAAATGTCCATGCTGCAAAATGGTAAGCTATTTCTGTTTAGCATTCAAATCAGTGTTAATCCATTCACATGGCTTTATCTTTCATAAGCTTTAAAAAAAGTCTCTGTAAACAAACTTGTATTTAACAACACAAAGACCGAAATGAAATGAAGAGAGATTACTGACTTATTAAAGCAATCCCTTCAAAAATATCTAGGGAAAAAAAGGCGAATCTTAGAGGCTAATAACCGAGATAAATCAATGTGAAAAACAGCAATACCTCTTACTAAATCACTCTGGCACAAATCAATTTCACATTAAAACATTTTCAGAGGACAAAACGAAGCCAATTCATGAAGGAAACACTGAAAATACCCAACTAAGAGAAGCTTTCAAGTTCATGCAAGCGCTGAAGGACTGGAACAAATGAATAATGGCAAAATTCTTACCATTTTACAGCCAGATTCTGAACTTCTCCGTTCTTGTCCTCCAGGAGCTTTAAGATCATTTTGACCACCTTCCGTTCACTATCATCATCCAGCTTTATCGAATCCTTCTGCAGTTCGGACATCAAATCATTGGTGGCCATGAATCTGAGGGAATAAACAAGGACTTGTTATGAATGACTTAATTCACTTTATTCTCAAGAAAAAGATGTTTCTTCCACCAAAATGTAATAACTTGTGCAGCCCATGTTAGTAATCCCCTACCATCCAACGTCGTCATATAAAGACCACTTTTCACTATCCAAACAATTCCTAATGAATAAAAAACCAACCACCATCAACATTTTCTTCCATTGCATGTCCTGTTTCACTCATAAAATCCAACATTTTACACAAGCAATGACTACCAGTTGCAAGGCTTTTTTTTTTTTTTCAGAGGTGTTCCCAATGGTCCAGACACACTGACACACTTAAAGAGGGTTTCATATGACTTCAGCACTAACAGAATGGTTAATGTAAAGTCACCCACATGGCCGTAACATGAGAGCCACCTGTATGACGAGGCTGCTGGCATTATGTCAAAGCAAATGGGCTGACTGAAGCATTTTCACATTTTCCTCTCACTTGTCATAGTTTGATAATTCATAATCCACTTCTGAGCTGAAACTGGGGTGGATTCAAATGAAATCTTGTCTTTGGGTGCCAACATCAAAGCCTCAGCACAGAACCTCATATGTGATATGAGCAAAAACCTTCTGCATACCCTATTACGTGCCATCTCTCGCTCTCTCTCTCTCTCACACACACACACACACATAGAACTAAGTGCATCTGCTTTGGCATATATTTGAAGACATGGAATCTCTTATTCCAGCGAGAGCCTAAGTAAGAATGAATAATGCATGAGACGCACACGCTCCAACAGCAGGGCGAGAGAGGGAACGCCAGCACACGCCAACAGAGGAGACCTAGAATGGTGTGTAAGCAAATTTTTCCCAGGGGGTGAAATCTTGTGAAATTCAGAAAGAGCTGGAATGAGAGCAGAAAACAGCTTGACGGAGATGACAGGCAGGAAAGACTCTGGGAATATGATCCGATGACTGCATTATCATTCATCTGAGAACTCCTGTTGGATATGTATAAAATTCACAAACCATTAACCTCCTGGTGGCCACTGCTGAATATACTGAAATCATTCAAAGGGATTCCCCCAACAGCAAAAACAGCATGACAGCCCAAAATACAAATTGTAATAACTATATAGACCAGGTACAACTTCATGATTATGCTTTTCAACTGTTATTACTATATTTATATGTTTCTAGCCTTGACAGCATTTCTGATCAGGCAAGTATTCTCAAACCAAAGTCAACGAGGAACTGTCATGCAATCTTTGCTTACAGGTATAACACTGAGGTAAATATCTATCACTATTATTTAAAAAAACAAATGTTGTAATCATTTGAATTAAACAATTTAACGCAGCCTGTGACTTACAAAGGACAAAAATCAACCACTGCCTTCATAAATAATTATCAATCTGCACGTTAGCAAGTGATTAAGTGAATAAAAGAAGAAAACAATAAATGCATGACCTGTCAAACCTGTCAGTACGCACATTTAACAATGACATGAGGTTTTCTGAAACATTGAATACAGAGATAACGTTCAATCTTGAATTCAAGACGCACTTTACATTATACAAACTTCTCTAATTCTATGCACATATCATAGACGTGCACTTATGCTAACATTAGCCAACTTATATGAACCCTAGGGGAACAAAATTACATAAAATACGAAATATTACACTGATTCATCAACTTTCTGCACATTCCGCACATGATTTGTTCAAAATGACTGTACTCGTTGCAAATGATATGACAGTTCGCGTGCAGTGCCACCAGAAATATATGCTAAAGCTAATCGGCTAATTCTAGCGGCTAGCTAGCTAACATCCATACTAAAACAAACACTTTTTGACAACTTCAATTCCAGCAACCGATGTCAAATTAACAATTCAAATGGTTAATTATAGTCGTGAATATATGACCCATACACACATTTAAACAGCAAAAATCTAAATGAAGGCCCGTGCAGTGTGAGTTTGACATGCTAAGCTAAGCAGCTCCCTAAACAACAACAGTCGCGCTATTCGGGGCCTAAAACTTTCTGCGATCGCTGCGTTATTCATTATGACATGTAAACGCCATCACAAGCGCTAGAAATACACATGCATGCTATTTAACACTCATTCAAGATATGTGCACTACGACTGACCTGAAATCCTTGTCGCTGGATGTCATTTTCTCCAAAAGATTAGAGATGTGGTACGAGGCACTCGCCATGTTTGCAGTCTGGAAAACCACTTGTGTGTACGTTTAGGGCCAGAATGATTTAGTTCGCCTCTTTCTGGAGGTTTGAAGGGGCTGTAAAGTACAAGACGAATATCCAGAGTTTGTTGTGCAGGTAGGTGATCAGCAGCAGCTGTGCGGGGAAGAGCAGACGCTCATGCCTTGGGTTTGGATGGGTTTGAATGGAGGTGCTGCTCGCTTCTGCAGGAGGGAGGAGCTCAGACTAGGCTAGACTGAAACTGCTGAGAAGACAGAGTGAGAGTGGGGCTGTGATACAAAACCTAGTGAGTTGCCAACTTGGACTGCATGCGAACTCCATCTTTTGGCCGTCATTATTGTGGTGTGGTAAAGGTGTTCTCATGAATATTATTTGATTGTACTCAACTAATTTAGCATGATTCTTTATTGTTTTGTGCTCAAATTTAACCACACGTGCTGCTATCTCTCTCTCTCTCTCTCTGTCTGTGTGTGTGTGTGTGTGTGCAGTGTTGGGGAAAGTTACTTTTAAAAGTAATGTATTACAATATTGCGTTACTCCATAAAAAAGTAACTAATTACATTACTTAGTTACTTTTTATGGAAAGTACTGCGTTACGTTACTTTTGCGTTACTTTTTACATCTGGACAGGGCTTGCTTGTTTGTTTTTAAAATAAAAAAGTTCTGTTTTTGGCAAATATAAAAGCCTTTTCACACCAAAAGTGAAATGAATAAGCCTCAGGCTGAAGGGAAAGTACATTTACGTCCGTACAGTAGAATGCAGAAGAAGAAATTTCAACACGCTTGACAAAAAAGACAATAAAAAAAGACACAAATATTTGTCTAGAATGATTTGTGCTTATTAGTACGGTTGAACTGGATCATCAAAGGTCAGAAGCAAAGACATTGGTTAATAGAATGGGATTAAATACATAAAGGATATTTGTGTTGTTTAACATTTAATTATGGCAGGTTTGCATCATATTCTGAGTTGCCTTTTTTTTATTCATTTTGAGGAATACTGAATCTGAGTTTTTTTTTGTGAGTGAGATTAATTAATGCATATTCATATTTATTTTAGAACTACGGTAACATCTTCTGATTTATCTCAACATGGGGACACGACTGTCAATCAATAAATTGAAAAAAAAGTAACTTGCGTTATTTATTTGAAAAAGTAACTCAGATATTCTCTTGAAAATTAAAAAGTAATGCATTACTTTACTAGTTACTTGAAAAAAGTAATCTGATTACGTAACTCACGTTACTTGTAATGAGTTACCCCCAACACTGTGTGTGTGTGTGTGTGTGTGTGTTTACCATACTGATATAAAAGTACAAAGAGAAAGAAAATATATTCCATTCATTATTATTAACAACAAGAAGTGCATGAAACATTACATTATGTCAAGATTTCCCAAACTGGGGTTCGTAAAAGGAACTGCAGGGTGTTTGTGAGTTTCATGAAAAGGAATAATTAGGAAGAATCAATAAATTGTGAATAATTTATTGCTATTGTGTTAATTAAAAAAAATAAGAAAAATAACTGTAGTCTGATTATGAGTATTTTAAAATGTAATATGATACTAATTAGTAGTATTGAATTTTTGGAATCTGATTACGTAATCCAGATTACACGTAATCAGTTACTACTTAAGCACTGTGTGTGTGTTCATATATATTTATACACACATGTAATCTGGATTGCGTAGTCAGATTCCAAAAAATCAATACTAGTAATTAACAATTCTTCACAGATACAATTGAGATCAGATCCATCCTGACTATTTAAATCAATCCTAAAAGCAATCATGTATTGCAAACGATATATTGTCTAGAACCTCTAGTGACACATGAAATAAATGGGTGTCTATTATTTCATTTCAATCACTGAAATGACCTGGTGCATAAAAGAGAAAAAGGGAGAAAACACTAGCAATTATCCTTTACTCTGTACTCTCTAAGACAGGTTTGACTTCTGGACCCTCAGTTAGATGAATCCTCTATGATACATTCATCCTGTCCTTCAGTGTGTCTTTATTCAAAGCCTTCCCTGTTCCCAAAGAGGAGTGCAGCACACCTCTCTCATTTTCTGCTCTGATATGCTCTTAGTAAGACCATGAAATAGGAAGGAATATTTAGAGAGACTTATGCAATTGCCATCATTTTGTCCCATGCAGTATATGCAGACTAATGCAGTATATTTTGTTATGCCAAAATGTCTTTTGCCTTAGACGTATTTGGATGATCTTTGCAGAAGACTGCCTTCCAGCATTGTCTGACCCACTCTCATAATCCCAAAATCTGCATTCAGCATTGCAATGTCTTTAGTCTTTTTCTCTGAGATCAAGTATGTTATGGTTAGATGCACTACACATTGTTTTTGACTCAGTAGTAGACAGGAGGTCAAATATAATTAGGATTACAATCATCGCACTGTTGGCGGTGCAGAGCGTGGTCATGCAGTGAAATGCACCTTTGCGTCTTCAACAAACATGCAAATATATGAATCACAGAATAACTGAAGATAAAAAAGCAGCAGAAATAGTCAATGTGTGTAATGTAAATTGTAAACAAAACTTAAAATGTTTACATTTTCACTGAATAATGGTAAATTATATATAAATATCTGGCTTCGATTTCATGCTTGTCAATCTGTCAGTTTATTTTGAAGCACAACAGCAAATCAATTCACCATGAAATCAGTTATGATTTCTCAGAATACCCTCAACAGCTGTGTGGAAAATGGCTCTTGGATAGACATCAGGTGGCAAAGGCGTAGAAAGGAAATAAAAAGAAGATAGCGAGTGTGTGTCTGCATGCAAAAGCACAGATGAGAGGAGAAATAAAGCAATTTCATTCGAGACTCATTAAGTGAATGAATTTCTTTTTCATTTCTTTTAAATAGCCCACTAGATTGAGATTTTAAATGTCAGTGATACATAATTGCTATGCAGAAAACTAAATTCTATGAGAAAACTGTCATGTCGAGAAGTTGAATTTGATGTTAGTTTTCTTCAAGAATTATTACACTCTAAAAAATGCCGGGTTTTAACCCAAATGTTGGGTTAGTCCATATTTTACCCAAAGTTGTGTTGACACAACCCAGCATTTATTTAGAGTGTAGATATATATTTTTTGTAGTATGTACAGAGTTTAAACTGTCATTTGATTGATCTCTGTTGCAGTGGGACAAGGCTCCAGTAGGTGTCATGAGAGCAGGGCATGAGCATGTGTTTGTGTGTGTGTTTTGGAAAGACATTGAACTGAAATGATAGAGAGAGACCTGTCATTGTGGAGAAACATCTACTTGCACTGAAATAAATCTTGATGCTATTGCCTAAGATTATCCAAGACTTTTTCAGGAAATGATGTCCGAATTATGTTACCTCATGGACGCATTGATGTGTGATGGAAGCAGAAAACCATTCCCATAGCTCTCTCATAATGGCATGCCTTCTTCTGTAGGCATTAACGCTCAGATGCTCCAAGCAAAATAGAAGCAAGAGGAAGAAAATACTTTTGTGGCCTCATTTTCCAGTCTGTGGGTAAAAAGTTTCTATTGTGACATAATGGATTACATAAAGCAAATAGGTTGATAAAACGTGACTTTTTCATGCATGCTAAACATTATATAAAATATCTTGAGGAGCAAGATATGTGCTGATATAGTTGCTATTCAAACAGGAAGTTGGGACAGGGAATATGCACTCTGTTGATGCTGTCTGTGAATGCAGCTGCTTATGTAGGCACAAGATAGCAATTTTGTCAGATTTTAATTTTTTTTATAAATAGCCAAGGCACAGCCACCATGATATTTGCTGTTGTTAGTAGATTACAAGTAATGTGAGTTACGTAATCAGATTACTTTTTCAAGTAACTATAATAAAAGTAACGCATTCCACTTAATGTTTGGCAATACTATCAACTTGATTGCACAGACACTATAATTGGAAGACAACTGAACTGAGCTGGACGATGACATCACTGAATCAACAATGAACTGACTTTAACTTGAAATATTGACTGTTTGCTATTGTCCTGATTTTAGAGCTGCTGTACAGCAGAATTGAATTTTGTTTGCATCATTGACACTATTTTTCTGTTTAGCACTGTAAAGCTGCTTTGACACAATCTCTATTGTATAAAGCGAGCGCTATATAAATAAAGGTGATGACTTATATATTTACAACAAAATATTGTAGTTATAAAAAGTTACTTTTTCAAATAAGTAACGCAAGTTACTTTTTTCTATGTATTCTCTGACTCCTCTTCTGTCCCTGTGCTGAGAGAAATTGGGAGTGAGGTGCAGGGGAGGGGGCACTTGCTTCAACCTTGAGGCTTATTCATTTCACTTTTGGTGTAAAAGGGCCTTTACAGTTACCAAAAACAACTTTTTTTCTTAAAAAACAAATAAGGAAGCCATTTTTTGTAATGCATTACTTTTAAAAGTAACTTTCCCCAACATTGGTGCTTAGTCTGAGGATAGAAGAGTCATCAATATTTTTTTTTATCTGATTTCTCATATAATAAAAACTGTACATTGTAAAAAAAAAAATTCTATGTGCTAGCAATGCTTTTGCAAATAAATGTCACCAAAGCTAACACATGTAAACTAAAAACCACAAAAAAACTCCTAGTATGATTTAATGTAAATTTAAATAAAAAACTTAAAGGTTAGATAAATATGTCCCTAAAATTGGGTTAATTGCAATTTGAGGCTCAAAAATCATTCAATTACACATGCAGCAATGGCTCTGTGGAGTTGAATGACAAGGTTGAATAGACGTAAATTTAATTTAATGATGAACCTTCTGTTTACAATGAACCCCTGGGAGCCATAATCGATTATCAAATTGTAATTGCCCTTTCTTTTTAATTTCACTATTAAAAAGTCAGCCAACATTCTGTCCTACAACATAAACTCTCTCCCCTTTTCTGCTCTCAATTGCTTTCTCAAACTTTTCCCTCAGTTTTCTGCTATACACGCAATCTGGAAATTACAAATGACCTCTTGTTTTGAAAGGGCTGCAATCTATGGACCATTAATGACTTATTGAATTGAGGTAATTGCATTCTACTCAAGCAGTGGCCACCCCTTGTTGCACTTAACATTAAAATTAAATTAAGCCTGGCCCAACACTAAGCATAAATTGCTAGTCAAATAACTGACGCATTATCTGAAAAAAAAACATTGGAATTCATGGGCCACATTGGATGTCAGCCGTGAATACATTGCAATAGCAAAGATGTTCTTTACTCAATATAAAGAGCCTCAAGGCAAAGTCTCAAGAGAGCACTTCATTACTACAGGCTCCTATACATAGACATTATCGTCTACTTTATCCTCACTATCTCAAACAAGCACACAGATGACTGTGAAATAGCAACATGGCTCATTTCATCACCCTTA